TTCTTCATAGACATAGTACATTTTTCTTTCATATGATGTCTATTTTCCAATAACTTGCTTAACCTATTTTTCAGTTGCTTGATTAAAAATTTAAATACATGATGAACTTTTTTCATACATATTGTATATTTTTATATACAATTTTCATACAAATGAGAGGCATTTTTTTCCATACACATTATAACATTTTTCAAATGCCCGATGAACACTTTAAAATATTTATATAGGTTAATTTGTATATATATCTAAAATATTTATATGTATAAATATAAGTAGAATAAGCCCACAAAAAAGTAGAATAAGAAAGCAAAAAAGCCAAAAAGGTCAAATATGAAAATAAAATAAAATAAAGGAGAATGGCCTCCCGTGAGCTGGGCTGGCCCAGTCTCGCGCTCCGTTAGGCGAGGCCGCCCTACTTCTCGCGTCTAGTGAGGCAAAGGCACACCCCTAACGCCAGAGACAAGGTTTTGCTTCCGCGAGAGGCACGACCGTGCCTCTCGGAAACGGATAAAAAACGCGTTTTCTGTTATTTTTTTCTTCCGCGAGAGGCAGGATTGTGTTTTTCACCAGAGGCACGGCCGTGCCTCTCAAAAAACGAAAAAAAGCATTTTTTTTGTTTTTTTCTTCCACGAGAGGCACGATTTAGCTTCTGCGGGAGGCACGAAACGTGTTTTCTGTTTCTTTTTTCTTCCGTGAGAGGCACGGTTGTGCTTTCGCGAGCCCATGCCTCTCGGAAACAAAAAAAATATGTTTTCTATTTTTTCCATCCGTGAGAGGCATGGTCTTGCTTGCGCAAGGTGCATGGTTGTGTTTTCGCAAGAGGCACGGCCGTGCCTCTTTCAAAAAAAAAATGCTTCCAGTTCGGTTTTTTGATCTAATTTTTTGTTCGGTCTTTTGTAAAAAAAATCGTCAAAACCTATCAACATGAGATATAATAGATCTCGACGCGAGGAATCCAATGGTGTTTTAAATGATTCGATATTTGGACGTACGGTTTCAGAGATAAAACATTTTAAATAAATAGATGTATGAAAAACGGGAAAATTCCCACGTTACGACAAGTGACACGCATGCCACTTATCAAAATCTGAGAAGATGGAAGTGATCTTTTAAAGAAATACTCTTTAATTAGTGATTTAGTACGAATAGGCATCCCGCATACGCAGCGCCCACATAGACTTCCGATCCTTTCCTACTGGCCTGGTCCATGTGACCGTCATTCACTTGTATTGATTCTTTTGTGGTTTTTTCCCGGGACATTTTTGTGATTTTCTTTTCTCATGATTGGTTTTGTTCGGTTTACCTTTTTATTATTTTCTTTTCTCATTTTACTTTTCATTTTCGTTTTGAATTTTCCTGTTTTCTTGTTTCTCGTTTCATTTCTTTTCCTTTTTTTAATCTGTGAACATTTATCAAATTCCAGAACTTGTTTGAAATTTATTTTGTTTCTAAATTCAGGAGCATTCTCTAAATACACAATTTTTTTGCAACTGTTGAACATTTTCCAAATTTGGGTTCATTTTTTAAACCCATGCACTTTTCCCAAATCCATTAATTTTATAAATCGCAAGGCCATTCTTTGAAATATTTGAACTGTTTTTCTATTTCATAAACATTTTTCAAATATGTTAATATTTTTAAAATCAACCGACAGATTTTAAAATTATGAAATCTTTTCAGATCCATTAGCTGTTTTTGAAATAATGCAGAATTTTCAATTTTGTGTTTGTGTTCTGCCATTTTTCTCACAATCAACTAAAATGGAAAAAGAAACTCGCTCGTTCGATCCAGTCAATTGTTTTGACCATTAAAGTTTTGACGTGTAGTTGACCATGTTGTCTTCTATTTTATTATTCAAAATTCATCAAATTGAAAAAAGAATCCTTGATTTGAAAAAAATCATCGATTTTTGTAAAAGTTCACAAAATTTTGAAAAATTTCAATGATTGTGATTAATAGTTCATCAATTTTGAAAAAGTTCATTGTTTTGGAAAATGTCATCAATCTTGAAAAATAGTTCACCTATCTTAAAAAAATGGCAAATTTTTAAAAGATCGTCAATTATGAAAAAAGTTCACAAAATAGAAAAAGTTTGTTGTTCTTAAATTAAGTTCATCAATTTGGTTTTGAAAACAGTTCGCCAATCCCCCAAAAAATAACCAAATTTGAAAAAATTCAACGCTGTTGGAATAAGTTAATCGATTTGAAAAAAATCATCAATTTTAAAAGAAATCCATTGATTTTGAAAAAAAGTTCATCAATCTTCAAAAAAATTAACGAAAACTGGAAAATAATCATCGATAGAAAAAATGAGAAATTTGAAAAACAGTTCTCTGAAAAAAGAAAGGGAATAAAAGAAAGATAAAACCACAGAAAACCGGTCCTGGAAAAGATAAGACGAAAAAACAGAAGCTCTCCAAAACCAGGTATCTTGGTCCGCTCATATACCTTAAATGGGCGGGCCCATGACCATCAATGCAGGAGGGGGGTGCGCCGTTTGCGCCCAGACCATTAACCAGCGGTACGGGCACCGAATAGGGTTTGGCGCGATGAATAACACTGATATGTGTCATCTTTGTTTTCCTTTTCCCCCCTCAAAAATAAATCTTTTGCTTTTTTCTTGTTCATGCGTATATAAAAGCATGCAGCGACAGGTGAAATGTGAAATTTTTAGCGACCGCCAAACGGGCAAAACGTGAGCCAGGCCGCCTTTTTATTAGGATCGTGCACTACTCTATCCCTATGAGCAGCTCCAGGCAATTGAGCCGACATATCATCTCATCGTCGGACTTAAACCCTGCTGGACTGATGATATCATTGTCTTTTTGATTATCCAACCACAGGTTGGTTTGAATGCTCCCTTCGTGTTGTTGTCTGTACTGAAGCATGCACGCGACAACCCTCAAGAAAAAAAAATGAAGCATGCACGCGACAACCCTCAAGAAAAAAAATGAAGCATGCACGCGACGGGTTAAACGTAAAAATCTCAACAACTAGAAGGAACGGGCAAAACGTGACGGCTAACGGCCACGAAAACACATCCTCGTGTGTTGCCCACGATTGGTATGTGATGTACGGCCAGCCCCATGTTTTACCAGCACCTGCCTCATTTGTCAGATCATGTCGACACTAGCAGCTTCGTTTTCTTATTCGCATCCTCGTCTTGTCATCCTTATAATAATAGCCAAAAAGAAGGTGCATCGCATGCACTTACGGGCACGCGCTCGCGCGTGAAAACCTCCAGGGAACCTAGCTTCTGATGTGAAAAAAAATCTCACGAATCAACAATATATATAAATATGATACCGCGAACCAACCTGTGGTTGAATGCTTAAAGGAATAATGGCATCTCAGCTCATCAGGGTTCAAGTCCTAGTGTTCATATTATTTCTGGATTTATTTTGAAATTTCCGGCGATGCGCTTTCAATGGGAGGAGACGTTTCCGTCTATGACGAGTCATCTACGGTAATCGATACTATCCACAATTTTCTTCTCCCTACGATCCCCTCCACCTCAACCAGCGCCGCCGCCTCCTTGGTCCTGTTCGAGCCGTCCTCTGGCATATGATACCTGGTCCATGTGAAGATCATTAGCTATAGCTCTTGATCGATACCATCCACACTTTTCTTCTCCCTACGATCCCCTCCACCTCAACCAGCGCCGCTGCCTCCCTAGTCCCCTTCGAGCCGCCCTCCGGCTCCCCTCGACCCTCTCTTCCTGGCCCGGCGCCACTGCATCCGCGGCACACCCGCCGGTAGGCACGACCTGCATTTCATCTAGGGATTCTGAGTCTCACAGCGCCGCCAGGCTCGAGCCGGCTCTTCTCGTCTCCAATGGCCGACGAGTCACCGGATGTGCGCCTTCTTCTCCGCCTCTTTGGTGTAGCCCTATCGACTGGTACCCATCGCCGCCGCCCATGACCACCAGTTCGCCACCCCGTTCTTTTCCACCCCAACTCGCCGTCGTCGCTGGACCGTTCTCTGCTGCCCCAGCTTGTTGTCGTCGCAGGACCATTCGCTGCAAATATCCCCCTCCTCCCTCCTTCCGTCCTCGATCCTCCGTCCTCTCCCTTGTATGCTCTCCTTCTTTTTCAGTCTCCGGCCGCAACAGCCTCGAAGTCTAACTAGATTCTTTTTTTTTGTCTAACTAGATTCCTTTACAGGCATGAACCAAACAAAACAAGGATTTATCCATTACGTCCCTGTTACAGCGTGATCTAATTCCTTTACCATTGACGTTACCTCTCTCTAATCCAAACACCTATAATTCCTTCCTGCCGACATCCAAGTCTACAGTGGTAACTTGTGCTGACCAAAATTCTGAGACTGAAAACACTCCACGCTCCATAATTACCGGGGGGGTTCTCAGTTTTCTAGACGAAACGTGCGTCGACACAAAACTGCTCTGAATATGACACGATGATCGATCGGGAGGGGCCGAGCATGCCATAGCTAGGCCCATGGTATGGACGGAAGGCGCCATCGTCTTGACTGTTTCGACCATGACACCGATCGAACCAATTAATTATGTCAAAATCCTTCTCAATATCGGAGGCTCTAGTGTAGCTAGCGTACAAATATTTTTCTCATCTTGGAAAAGAGGAAGGCGACCAAGCCTTTCTTTGGAGAGGATTTGCTCGCCGCCGATGCTCGCAAGCGCGACCAAGCAAGCAAAGCAAGGATGCGTGTGTGAAAATTATGCTCGCGTCCGTCGACTTTGCAAATGTATTCGAAATCGTCTCTGTTCGTCTTTGTACATGTTTTCATTCAAAAATATGCTTCCACTCGTGCCTGATTTAAAAAAAATTCTTTAATTCCTTCAGGAATACACGACCATCACACATTTACAAAATCAAAATCGACACTACTACTTTGTATTATGAGCATCACGTAGAAGTATACTGCTTCTGTACACAAACTAATGAAAGAACAGACGACACATTTGGCGTGCCCTGCATGTGTGGCAGCCATGCAGGTCCTAGCTGCTGCGGCGTCCGCTCTCAGGGGAGCTCCAGAGGAGTGGGAGGGGACATGGGGCGGCGCCGCCACAGGTTCACCTCCTTCCTGGGCTCCGACGCCACCACCCCGCCGCCCAGCACCAGCGGCGCCGAGAACGCCACGAACCCGTCGTCCACGTAATCGTCGTCGACGTCGACGTCGGAGCCCCTCCTCTCCGCCTCCCTCCAGTCGAAGTCCTGGAACGCGCCGCGCCCGCTGGTGAACCGCTTCATCTGCCCCAGCCCTGCCATCCCCGGCCCCGACACCGGCGCAGCGGCCACGGCGGCGCTGCTCCCCGGCCTCCCCTTGAAAAGATCGGCAGCGCCGCTCGACTTGTGGGACGAGGAGGAGGACGAAGGCCGCGACCTGCTCCGTCGGGAGAACATCCGCCTGACGAGCGACCTCTTTGGCCTGCTGTGGACCGGCGGCCGCGGCGGCATGGGGCAGGCGCCGCCGTCCATCCCGCAGGCGGCCGCGGGGGCGACGTTCTTTGCCGCCTTCCTGGCCTTGCTGGTCTTGGACTTGCTCCGCTTGATCTGGCCGATGCACGACACCTTGGGCGACGAGGCCTCGGGCGTCCGGTACCCGCTGCCGCCCCCCTGCTTACTACCGCCCCGCCTCCTGCCGCCGCCGCCGCCGCGCGCCTCGGGCGGCACGATGGAGACCATGGGGCCGGAGAAGGCGTTGCGGTGGTTGAAGGACGCCTTGCCGCCGCCGGCGGGGCGGGAGCCGAAGGTGGTGGCCGTGGAGGAGGAGAAGGAGGCGGCCGTGGACCTGAGGAAGGACGCCAGCGCGCCGCTCCTGGTCCTCGCGTGCTTCTTCGTCGGCTTCCTCTCCATCGCCTGCTTCTGCCGAGACCTGGACGCGCTAGCTAGCTATAGATTCTTGGCCGATGAGCTCGATGGATCGTTTGCTTTTCAGCCTTTGTCCTTTGTACCGTGTACTGGTCCTGGTTATATACGACGCAGCGCTGCTATACACACGACGCCGTGCGGACGACTCGTGCACGACAGCACATATCAAGCCGTCCATGCATACTATCCAGCGCATATCAGCGGCTGGACTGCCCGTCGTCCTAGTGTCGTGCACACATGCATCGTCTACGTAGCAGTTTCGTATACGACGGGCGTTGGCCGGGCACCGGAGGAGGAGGCAGGACGGTTGGTGACGGAGTAAAATAAGGTTGCGGGGTCGCGATGTGACGGCGCACCGCGCAGGCACTGGCGGAATGGCGTGTGCGGTGGTCAAAGGCCGGGAAACCGGCGGGGGCAGCAGCTTCGTTCCGGCCGCTGCAGCTAGCGAGCTAGCTAGCTACTCGTGCCCCTCATTAATCCCCGCGGCGAAACCGCGCCCGTTCCAGCTAGCCAGCCGACGAGGTCGTGGTCGGGACGTACGTTCCCGCGCGACCGGATCCGGCACGCGCGCCCCAGGATTATACTCCGTACTAGCGTTTCCCGCGCGACCTCGGCGCTCAGTACTTGTGTCGACGACCCGGTTTCCCCGTGACACAATCCCACGGCCGCGTCGCGTCGACGTCGCCGCTGTTTGCCTCGTCACCCCCGAGCGCGCCGTCGCTGGTGCTGTAAGCTACGTCCGTAGTGATGGATGAGAACCTGCACGGCCGTGTGTGTGTACGCCAACTGTGGGGGTAAGGCCAAATTCCGTCCCCGGGCGGCCCGTCGCTGTGGGAATCAATTCGATCGCTGGCTTGCTCCGCCGCACGACCTGCATGTTGCGTTGTTGCTTAGCTAGATAGCCGCTCCGTAGTACGCCATCAGGCATTACGCCGTGGAAAAAGGCTGCACGTACCGGGGAAGAAAGTTTCTCCCGAAATGAATGGCGCGGTTTGACCTGCGGGCGGGGATCAGAGCTCTCGTCCTTTGTCTTCCTTTCTTTCGTTCTTTAATTTTCTTTCTTGAGACCGTGGGCAATGAAAACGTGTAGCTGTGCGCTGTTGTTGAGAATTGAGCTTGCTGTTTACACTGCCAGCCAGTCTCGGTGGCCCACCTGCTTGCATGTGTTATGTTTTTTTTTTTTTTTGCGGGAAGCATGTGTTATGTTATTCCACCAAACATGCCTTGGTTACCTTAATAATAAAAAAGAGTGAAGTCTAAAAAAAACCTTGAACTAGTAGAGCCAGTCAGAATTAAACCTCAAACTCCCAATCCCTGAAATTGGTACCTTGTACTTAGCGATCCCGGTCAATTTCAACCCTAAACCAACCATATGTGGTTTGCCGTACCGGGAAAAGGATGATCCCGGCAGGGATTATTGTTTCTTTCACTGACTTTGCGGTCCCACTTGTCATATTCATCTTCTCCCCCGAACTCTCCCGCTCGTGTCCCTCATGGTCGGGACTGGCCGTTGTCCCTCAGAAATCTTAGCACGTTGTTCTCCGGCATTAGCGTGTGGTCATGGACAACGAGCAGCCGCGCTCTTTCTTCGAGATGCACGACGGCGAGGAGACGTGGGACATGGCCGCGCAGGAGGTGCTTCGTCGCGGAGGTGCTTCTTTGGAGAGCCGCGAGCGAGATGTCTTCCTCTTTCGTGGTGTGCGCTCGATGGCCCTGCACGTCGTATGCAGCGTCCTGGATCTGCCTCACCTCGTCGCGGAGGCCCCGCCGACGGTGAGGAGCGGTTCGCCGCCGGCGTTATGTTCCCCGTACAACGCTGTTCAGCGACCTGAATGTGTTGGGCTCAAACGGGATTAATAGCTTCGGAAAGAGATGCAAGTACAAAAGGCTAACCTAATCAAGCAAGCAAGCAGGTGGATTGATTCCTAAGCTAGCCATGGGATTTATTCGTGAGTTTATGGACAATTTGCGTATGTATAGACATTAGCTATTAGCAATCACACTGGGCGGCCGTGGACACGATATGAGTGGGCGGATGCCACTGACGAGCGACGATTGACGGTGTTGAGGCGTCGGGCTGCCGTGGAGATGAGGAGGTGCTGGATTAGAACTGGCGCTGACTGCAGGAAAGCAAGAGAGAAGGGACTTGGGAAGAAGATGCATATGACATATGGGGTCGGGATGTCAGTGAGAGTAGATCGTGATCCCGGCCGAGATGGAACTTATCCTTGTACGCCAAACAGGTCCAAGGTCGAGATTGATCGGGATCATTGACTTCAGGACGTCAATTTTAGAGATTAAGAGGTTGAGGTTTGATTCCGATGATCCATATAAATTCAAGGTTTAAAACAGACTTTGCTCAATAAAAAACAACCGCCATGAATCTATGTAGAATGGAGGCCAGTCATATCATACGGTTTGAACGTGCAGAGCGTACGCCCCGCAAAGTCGCGCACACACCTGGAGGCTGAAAAAGTAGTACTAGTAGCCAGCGGTACGTAGCCGTGCCGAGTCCAAGTATTTTACCATGGTTGATTATTAGCGTTGGATTATAGAGTAGTTTTTAGATGCGCACGGCCGCCGGCATCTACGAACGGAATGGTCACCTACCACTCACTACGCTTCCTTCCCCAGCTTCTGGGGTTCCTCGATGATGGTAAGCTCACCGCGTCAGCTTGTCCGACTGTACCGGCGTTCACGCGACCTCAAACGTACCATGACGGGTCCACGTCAAGTTTTTTTATCAACCCTCACAAGTCCACGCCACGTATTGCCGCACCATCCCTGTTTTCTCAGGGACGCCGGCGCGTTCGATCGCTCACATGAATTTCAACCAGCGATACGTGGACAATCATGGTGGTAGACTTGTTCGCTTCAATGCACCCCTCTCAACGAATGAAAGACATAAACCGCTCCGGAAAAGTAGGATCGCTCCAGGCGATCAAGGGAGGCGAGAGGGTTCCCTTGCGCGCCGCCGGTGACGCCGCCGGTTCCCTCTCTCTTCATCGGCCGCTCGGGCGGCGGAAGGGAGGAGGAACCTCAGGTCTGTTCGCTAGGTGGGTGTGTGGTAGGGTTAGGGTTGAGGGAGACGTTGCCGAGGCCGTTGCGATGGTGTCGCGTCGGAATAAGTTTCTTCGGGCTCCGTTCGCGGTCAGGCGAGGCTTTTGCCTTCGTCTAGGAGCCAGCGGGGTTGGGGATCCCCGGATCTCCTCGAGGTCACAGGCTATGGTGGTTGGAGGTCCATCGGCACTGGCCGTTTGAGTCCTCGGATGGGCGATGGATGCAGGGAGACGAAGACCTTTCTTCTTCCTTGTTGGTATGATTTGTTGTTGTTGTTGTTCTTCTCCTTCCTCTGTGCTGATGCTGGTGGAAGATCCTGCTTTGTCCGGGCGGATGGCCCTGCCGCGGTGCTGGACCGATCGGATGACTCGAGTTCTCTTCTTTTTGGAAGTGACACTTTTCCCGGTACTCAAAGCCAAGGACGGCGACGGCTGTTGCAGGTGTGTTGGATTGATTTCCATGCACTCTCAGCCCTGGTGTCAAGAAAGGAGGAAGCAGCATGGCGACAATTGTACCGTGGTCAAAGATGATGATCTGTTTGCGACTCGTTGCAGATCCTTCTGTTGCAGGGGTCTTCTCTCAAGATTCAGGGATGATAACACATGGCTCCGGAGATCTTCTTGTTTTATGGTTGTCTTAGGATACTCTAGGTGTTCATAGTCCTTTGTGTTTGCGTTTCAGTGTGCTTGTAAGGGTCAATTGCTTTGTATTAATTGATGATATGAATGAAAAAATTCTCAAAAAATATATATCAATGAAAGACATAAAATATTCACTTTTTCCATGGCAATCAAGCAAAACGACCCACCCCCTATCCTATCCTTCCCTTCAAGATCACATCTGAATGAATTTAAAAAAAAGAAAAAGATCACATCTGAATGGCAAATCATGTATCTAGAGCATGGCACTCTGTAACAGTTCCTCCTGATGTAGCATGACAACCCCCTTCTCCTAGCATGTCAAATGCCTGAACAAGTAGGCAATTTTCTTTCATATAACATGACAATTCTGTGTTGTAACATTGCACGTCTACATGCTATAGCATGACAATTTAGGCATGTGTGGCAATTTTCCCTCATGTAGCATGTCAATTATTCTATACGGTAGCATTTGTCATGATCCTCATTTACAACATGACAATTCTTCTATGCTGCAGTATGGCAATGTTTGGAACACGCGGGCAACTTGCCTGCTATAGTATGTCAACTTTCCCTCGTTCATTGGAGCGGTTTTCCAGGGAACTATATGTTCTCTCGCAAGAGCCACCCAGAGAGCACACTTGTTCGCTCGGGAAACCTTTCCAAGAGAATGTTTACTCTCTATTAGGGTACTTTTTTTTTCTAATGAACCTGTCGATTTTATCTTGTAAAACCTTGTGGATGGTTTAACAGTTCTATGAACAATAAAGCTAGTATAGAGTTTTTTTTAAGAATACATTTTACCGGAGCTTCGCACAATATACATTTTTTTAGCCCGCATCATATACACTTTTTAAGAAACTTCGCCGACCTTTATTAAACAACAACTTTTAGTGAAACAATTACAAAATCATGGGGCACACCAAGCCTAACATGACAGCGTGCATCAAGAGATAAAGCAAACTTTGCTAAATTGTGAGCTTCATGATTATTGTTTCTTTCTTCGTGCATGCGTGAACTTGCATTCTTCAAAGTCTCCTGCTATAGCATTGATCTCCATCTAATGGCTCCGTGTCTTGCACCCGATTTATCAGAGACATCCTTCAAGACTGATAGGCAATCATAAGCGATGAACAGTCGTTGAATAAGCAGCTCTTTTGCTAGTGGTTGGGCCTTTTTCTTTTGAGAAGAGAAGAATTTAAGAAAAGGGGGGTCGAACCTGCAACTCCATTGTTGCAAGAGCTCTGCTCTAACCACAAGGCCAACACCACGCAGGTGTAAATATACATCATTTTCTCCTTTATTTTTGTTCTTCAGCTTAGTTTATCCTTTTTCCTTTTTTCTTATCCTTTTTTGTTTTCTTTTAATGCGCGGTTATTTTAAAATTCGTGGTCCTTTTTTCAAAATGGATAACCCTTTTTCGAATTGGGTGAACTTTTTTTTTCAAATTCGATGAATGTTTTCCCAAATTTGATAAACTATTTTTCAAATTTGATGAACTTTTTTCAAAGTTGATGATATTTTTTCAAATTTGACGAGATTTAAAAAATTGTTTATATTTTTTTAATTCGTGAATTTTGTCTCAAATTTGTGAAAAAAATCAATCTTCTTGATTTTTTTGTATTTCATGAACTTTTTCAAATTTGTGAATTTTTTTCAAATTCATTAACTTTCCTTAAATTAGTGATATTTTTAAAATTTCGTGAGCTTTTTCTGAAATTATTGAACTTTTTTTAATATGCGAGCCTTTTCTTTTTGAAAAAAAAATCGTGAACATTCTTTAAATCTGTGAACTTGCATTTTTTGGAACAACACAACTACTATCGTCCTTAAGTATTTTCGAGGTACTATGGATTACTAGTACCAGGTAGCTCCAGTGGTTAGCCGAGCAATGGCGTGAGTTCGAATCCTCAGCGTGACAGCTTTGTTTTAGGATTTTTCCGCTGGCGTTGTGTGTTCGTGGGCTGGTCTACCAGGGCGCTGCAGCGAGCACCAGTTGGGTTAGACGGCGTGGAATAGGAAGTCCCCTAACAGTTCACTAAACTGTCAACTTCATGATTATTGTTTCATTTTTTAGGGATTATTGTTCCTTCATTCATAGGTCTCCATGTGATGGCCTCTTGTCTTGCACCTGATTTATCAGAGATATACTTCAAGACTGATAGGCAATCATTAGCGATGAACAGTCTCTGAATAAGCAGCTCTTTTGCTTGTGGTTGAGATTTTTTCTTTTGAGAAGAATTGCTAGAAGTTGAGCTTCTCTGCATGCAAAAGCTTCGATCGCTCGTGATGCAGCCCGGCCCAACAGTTCACTTCACGGGCTACATGGGCCACGAATACTTCAGGTAAAACAGCCTGAACCCATCGAAATGGCTTCAGACCCAAACCCTGAACCCTACAGCCCCCACGTCGCCGGCAACCGCGACCGAGCAGCCACCGCCCCCGCCGCCGCCACGGCTCTCCTCCTCAAGCGCAATCGCCACCTCTCCACCACTTCGCGCCTCCTCCTCCGCCGCCTATGCGCCACCGATCCCACCACAGAGCCGGCGCCCGCCTCGCCTCCGCCACCGGCTCCCGACTCGCCTCTGCCCATGACGCCCGCGGAAGCCAAGCTCCTGGACTCGCTCCACGCGGCGATCCTCGACCACAGCCGCGCCCACCCGTCGACGGAGCTCCCCGCCTCGCCGCCATTCGAGCCCCTACCCGCGTTCTCTTCCACCCTCGCCGGCCTCCTCCCTTCCCCGCCCGCGCCGCACCTCGCGCTCCAGCTCCTCGGCCGCCTCCTCGCGCTCCGCCGCGGCGTCCCGTTCCCGGAGGCCCTCACGTTCTTCCACCACGTCCTCCCGTCGCTTCCCGCGGACTCGCTCCCCGCGCTCTACGCCGCTATGATCGACCTGCTCGCGAAGCACCACCACTTCCCGCTCGCCCGGCACCTGCTCGACGAAATGCGCGAGCGCTCCATCCCCGTCTCGCCGCAGGTCATCCTCGCCATAATCCGCCGGTACGTCCGGGCGGGGATGTCTGCCGAGGCCTCCGAGCTGTTCCGTCGCATGGAGGAGTATGGCGCCGGGGTCCCCGACCCTGCGGTGCTCGCGTCTCTCCTTGGCGCGCTGTCCAAGAAGCGCCTCGCCAGTGAGGCCCAGGCGCTGTTCGACAGCTACAAGTCGGTATTTCCGCCTGATGTCGTGCTCTACACGACCCTGGTGCATGCCTGGTGTCGGGCCGGGTGTCTCGACAAGGCAGAGCGGGTGTTCGCTGAGATGCAGCAGGCGGGGATCATGCCGAACGTGTACACCTACACTTCTGTGATTGATGCCATGTACCGCGCGGGGCAGGTTCCCCGTGCGCAGGAGCTCCTCTGCCAAATGATTGACACCGGGTGTCCGCCGAACACGGCAACCTTCAATGCCATCATGCGGTCTCATGTCAAGGCCGGGCGTTCTGAGCAGGTGCTGCAGGTGCACAACCAGATGCGGCAGCTTGGTTGTGATCCGGACATTATCACATACAATTTCTTGATGGAAACACATTGCGGGAAGGGGCAGAGCAACCTTGACGCAGCGATGAAAGTGCTCGCCAAGATGATTGCCAAGGGGTGTATTCCTGACTGCCACACGTTCAATCCCATGCTGAAGTTGGTCCTGGGGACCGGCAATGTAGAAGCTGCACGGAAGCTATACGAACGGATGCAGGAGCTGCAGTGTAAGCCGAATGTGGTGACTTATAATTTGCTTATGAAGTTGTTCAATAAGGAGAAGTCGATGGACATGGTGCTGAGGATAAAGAAGGACATGGATGCACAAGGTGTGGAGCCAAACGTGAACACCTACGGAGCTCTAATCGAGTCATTCTGTGGGAGGGGAAACTGGAGGCGCGCTCATGCGACGCTGAGGGAAATGGTCGAGGAGAAATCCTTGAAACCCACGAAGCCGGTGTATGATATGGTGCTGATGCTGCTGAGGAAGGCCGGACAGCTCAGGAAGCACGAAGAGCTTGTGGAATCAATGGCTGACCGGGGCTTCATCAAGCGCCCATCAGAGGATGCCTTGTGGAAGGCAGTAGCTGCTTCGTAAACATTTCTTCCCATACAATCCAAAAGGACCAAGAAGTTTCAGCTATCAGCACGGTAATGGAACAACATATTTTCAGCTATCCAGTGCAGAAACAAAGAGAATGGGGTTCTGCTGCCACCTAATGCTAGCAGCAGCTAAGGAGCTAGAAGATTTGAGTAAACATAAATGACAGCATAAATTTGTAGAACAGCACTTACTGCTGTGAATAGAGGGCCAGGCACATCAGGCAAACAACATTGATCAGGCACATCAACTTCACCAGCAGCTACAGGCACCATGTTTTCTGCTTGCTTCCTGAAGTTTATTTGCTAGACTGTTATTGATGTGCAATCTTATAAGAGTGGTATTTTTTTTTTAATCTGGTGTGTTGTATCCTAGTATCATATAGAGTAATAATGTTTCCTTAGTAATACTGGCAGAAATTGGTGTTTCGAATTCCTACACTGCAAAATTTTGAAATATTTATCGTGTTCAATCAGACGATGACACTGCCTTTCGGCCGGCAGTATCTGCTTCCTGATGTTTACTAGTATGCCTTGCTAGACTGTTAGTGAAGTGCAATCTTGTAAGATTATTACGTACTGTACTTCTTATCTGTTGTAGTGTCTCATGGAGAAATAATGCTTCCTTGATTTGATGTACGAGAGTGATCCGCAGGTCTGAATTCTCAACACTAGCCACCTCTTGGTGTCAATCATCGACGGACCGTACCTGATTAATCAGCCGGGTTCTTCCTCCTTGTGGCATGTTTTGGAAAGCTGTACTACACTGATTCGGCCAAGCAAATCATCCAGCCAACGTACCTGATATGGTTCTCCTTTCTTGGGTCATGTCTGGGAAAGCTGTACTAGACTAATTCGGTGAAGCAAATCAGTACCCTGTAGGCCTGTAGGTACTACCATGCGACATTTTCACAGGACTTTAGGGTTAGGATGCATCAATCACTTATCTTGGTTGTTAGTGCCTGATGATTCACGGCTTGGCATTCATCAACCGACGTGCCCGCTTTGAACCGCACCATGTGGGGATCCTTGCTTTACACAAGTCCTGAGCCGCTCCGAAATGAATGCCCAATTCAATTTTTACCTGCCATGTAAGTACGTGGTGATGATTTAAAGTGCTACAGGAAAATTGGGATAGAATTCTGAACATCCACGCGCCATGCTCGGCATGAATTCAAATCGCTTCCTGCGATCTCCGCCACGGCAGCAACACGCGGTTGGGTTACCTTGTGGTTTGAATGGAATGGTGTGCTTTGTCTGAATCGCAGCGTGTACTAGAAGGGGAGACACGGACAGCGGTCCTTGGTTTTGCATAAATTCGAGGTGATTTGAAATCAATGCCTGGGCCAATCATTTTTACCTGCCATGCGATTGTGATCCCCGTACAAGAACGATTTGTCAGTCTTTATTTACTTACGTGCGTTGCTAGTTGTTACTCCTTGTTGCGGTGAGTAGGCTCGGTTGAGGACGACGGGTTTGTGGTCTCTGGATCCGCTCGCGGTGTCCGTCGAATCGATCCGGTGCGGTGTATCCGTGGTACGTGACCCTGCCTCCAGAGCCACTTGTTCATACTCCGTTTCTAAATACTTGTCTTTCTAGGCATTTCAATAAATGACTACATACGAAGCAAAATGAGTGAATCTACACTCTAAAATATGTCTACATACATCCGTATGTAATAGTCATTTGAAATGTCTAGAAAGACAAATATTTAGGAATGGATGGAGTAGATTAGAGAAGAGGGCAGGAGTGGGAGCAGCTTTTGTTGCAGCGGTAAACTACTGGGCGCAACATGTTGGGCGTCCGTTTTGTTGCTCGGTAGCCACACTTGCGTCTGCCGGGCTGACGGCGTGTCGGGCTCGTAGCGTAGAATCTATCGACCACCTTTACGACTCCTGTCCGTCAGTCAGTCAGCCAGTCAGTCACGGGCTCGCTCATCACATGCGCCAGCCAGGCAGTTCACATGTAGACTGACGTACGGTCACCCAACCGTCCGAAGCTCCGAAGAGAAACATCGCACCGCTTGAATCATCAGCCAGGCACGAACAGCAGAATCATTGCCCGTGCACGGGACGATGAGTCGATGATCACAAGTCCAAGCCACGGCACGCAGAGTACCTCCACGCACGTATGCTTTCAGTTAACCCCCCATTCATGCTCCTTGACGTACGCTCTGAACCACGGCTATAGCTGGTGCTGTACGCTCTCGGTTGGTCAAG